TTACCCCAGAATTTGCCTTTTGAGGGGTGGAAGTCTGAGTTTGTGCCTTGCTTAAATGTCTTCTCATTTTTGTTTTTGGTACTGTCCTTGGTTTAGTTCCTGGGTTGATACTTTGAAGTTGCTTATTGTAAGTATCTTTGTTGATGTATTTAGAACTGGTATGGAATGGTTGCTTCTCCGAGGTGTCTTCCAGATATAGCTGGTCTTTAGGTTTTGAGTCTCTAATATCTCTGAGGCTATCTCATTTTCGTTATACCAGGAAGGACAACTGATTAGATCAATCACAACACCTTAGCCCAAGTGACATAATCAGCAACACAATAGCGTCAAGTACCTCTTAGAAAATGACAATTTGTGGTAGTTATTAATCTGTCACCTTTAACTTGTGTGAATTAAATCAAAATCAAGGACCAACCCAACATATGTTTATAGTGAATAAACTCTTCAATATAGCAACTTTACCCTTTGAGATGGGTAGTTAGAAGGAGTTGAGGAGGAAGGAATAGGTAGGTAGAAGGATAGGGGAAGGTTAGCAGTGAGGCCAGAGGGCACAGGCGAGAGAAGGAAAGAGAAGAAAAAAAAAATAAAGAAGAAATCCGAATTAGGTCCAGAAAAGGAACACAAAGGGAGATGAAGAACAATGTGGGACAGCAAGGAGAGAAAGGGGGGGGGGATGGAGGGAGGGAAAGGAGAGAGAAAAGAGGAAAGAAAGAAAAATAAAAATTTTAAAAGTAGGAAAAGAAAAAAATTAAAAGTAAGAGCAAAAAAATAGCGGTGATTTTGAAAATAACAAATAAAAGATAAAAATGAAGGGCTTCCTTTGGGGTATGTCTCTGCTGTCACAATAGATAACTTGGGCAGCAGTGTGCAGATACAAGTCAGTGAGTCTCAGCAAGCCAGTCACAGACTCGTGAGAGTCTGGCAGATTTCTGGCTGCAAGTCCCAAGTTGAGCTCCCTCTCCTCCTGCAGGGTTGAACTCTGCAAGGCTCTACTGCAGGTTCCAGCTGCCCTTCCCCTGAAGATAGTCCAAGTTCCGATGGGAGCTGATGATCTCTCCAACTTACCAAGCACGGTGGTCTGATGTGCCTTTATTGCAGAGATTCTCTTCACTTTTCCAGTGGGCTTCAGTTTTCATGGAGGAGCCTGAGAGAGGCCCTCTGTCTGTTGTTCACTTCTGCTCTATCTTCTGGAGCTCAGGACAATGGCCTTTATGCTCCCTGTGCCTCTGTAGTGTGGAACCAAGTAGCTGTACAGCCAGGAGGCCAGAGGTGGGCGGGCGCTGGCTGGCATTGCAGGCGCCCACATGGCTAAGCTGGCGGCTGGTGGGCGTGCCTGGGGGATCCTCACTGTCTCCTGGTTGCAAGTGGGCGTAGCGAGCTGTTTAAAAGTCAATTTTGTAATTCTTGTGCACCACATGTTTTTTTTTTTTTTTTTTTTTTTTTCCCGGTACCAGGGATTGAACTCGGGATCTTGCGCTTGTGAGGCAGGCGCCAGAACCACTAAGCTAAATCCCTGGCCCACCACATGTTGATTTTGCTGTTCCTTCAAATGAAAATTAGCCTGGAGTTTGTAGCAGCAGACCTCTGTATCTACTTAGTTTAAGTAAAATATGAAAATGTTGGGAGCTGTCTGTGGTGATCATTACCTCTATAAAGACCTCGTGTGCACACTGTTCCAGATTTACATACAATTGTGAGAAGCACTACAGAGAAAGCAGGTGGTGTGCATGCTTTGCCCCACTTCCTCCAGGGGTAGCACCTTGCTAGTTGGGTTGGAAGCAGGAAGTTGCTGCCCAGAGAGCCTGTGGGTCTACTTGGGCTTTACCACCTCTGGTGAGCCCGGGGTGGGTGGGAATGAGCACTGCCATGCTCCATTGCATCCTGGGCATGTCCACTCCCACATCCTTCCTCCTTCCCTTCTCAGCCACCTCCTCCCCTTCCCTACTGTGTGCACCTCTGATGTGTGCGGGGAGGTCCTAGGGTACTGGGGACTGAACCCAGGGTCCTCATACCGACCTACATCCCTAGCTCCACTAGTTGCCCACTCTGGGCTGGAACCTGTGACCCTCTTGCCTGCCTTCCAGATGATGGGATTATAGACTGCATGCCACACCCCGCTTGTGTTGTCACTTTGAGATTGTGAGTCAGCCCCATGGTACGTGACCTTGGGAGCTGCTGCTCAACCTGGGTCTGTCCCTGTTGCTGCTTGGGTCAGCAGTGCAGGTCAGAGAAATCCAGAGTGTCTTAGTAACTAACAGTCACAATAACAAAATAACACCAAAGCTAAAATATTTACTCATTTTTCTGCAGTTGACTAGTCTATTGGGTTTTGTGGGCAGGTCTGAAGGTAAATGAAATGAGCTTGTGAAGGAGTGGTTTATGGTTTTGTTTTGTTTTTTTTGGTACCGGGTATGGAACTTGGGTCCTTGTGCTTGTGAGGCAGGCAGCGAAACCACTGAGCTAAATCCCCAGCCCTAGTGGTTCATGTTTTAAGGGTGTATAAATGATTCCAAGTTCATGTTTTAAGTATGTTCCAGGGGAAAATATCAGTGTAACCACCACAGAAATCCTCAACTCTCAGTGTCTTCTCTTAAAAATCAGTAGGTCCCTTAGTATGGCACAGAAGGGATCATTAATTTCAGGAACCTGGTGGAGGAGGGAACCAGAAGTGAGTTTGAGGAGGTCATTGACACCACAGACTGTGTTGCGAGTGGTTTTTCTGAAGTGTGAAACCATAAAGGAGTCACTTTTGGAGGCCTTGTAGGAAAGTGGGAAGCACAGGGAAGCATCTCTGATTTCTGTCTTGGTTCTGGAAGACGTTGAAAGTGCACTTTTGAGCTAGGTGATCTTCTGCCAGAGAACCAGAGCACTGAGCAGCTGAAGAGATCAGCCGCATGACTCAGCCACATGACTCAGTAGACGCTGGAGAGTTTGTTTTTCAAGTGATGTTATGTGCTTAAAACTTTTGTGAGCCCTGATCTACAGCACAGTGAGGGGAGCAGTGCATCTTCCTTACTCCTAGGTGCTGAGCTAGGAGCAGTGCTTACGTTCTCCATGTGGCATTAGCGGCCTTTCTGAGCCACGCTTCTAAAAATGCACTGAAACCCAACACAACACTTCCTTTCTTCTGCTCTGTCTTTCTTTTTCTTTTATTTTATTGAGATAAAGTCTTGCTAAGGTGTCTAAGCTGGCCTTGAAATTGCTGTCAGGTGTGGGCTACTGTGCTTGGTCTAACACTTTTTTTGAGACAGGGTCTTGCTATGTAGTCCAGGCTGGCCTCGAACTTGCCTCAGCCTCCCGAGGGAGTGCTGGGGTTACTGGTGTGTGCCACTACACCTGGCACCTACACTTTTTAAAAAACTAGAATATCATCTTTTCTTGGTGACTTTTGGTTGTCCTTTCTGAACATGTCACTTTCCTGTTGTCTAACACAGTGTCATTTTAGGCTCTGTTGAAGCATACACAGCAACATAACCCTTGTTATATAACCTGGCCTCTAGGCTTTGAAATTTTAGGTTTGGTTTTGTAAGGCTGGTAGTGGTCCCAGCTTAGTGTGGTCAGAATGTGATCTGTAGAAGTGTTCCACTCTTACTTTTGCTGCATCTAATCTACTTTACCTGGAAAACCAGATTAAATAGCTTAGAAGTGGGGTTAGCAGTGAAAGTAAGTATGCCTGTAGATCTATTATGAAGCATCTCCAGAGAGAGAAGAAGACACAGTGTGTGTGACAGTTGCGTAGGCCTTTTGTTTTGGTACCAGGGATCAAACTCAGGACCTTGTGCTTGCGAGGCAGGCGGCAGCACCACTGAGCTAAACCCCCGGCCCTGCCCAGGCCTTCTTGATGTGACAATCCATCCATCGGCGGCTGCTGTTGAGGGCATAGGTAGTATACAGTAATGTTTTGTTTCTTTTAAACTGCCAATCTTGTATTGATGGTAGTTTTGTTTTGTTTTTTGGCATAACCCCTTGTGGCCAGGGGTTTCCTGGCTATCAGATTCCATGGATATTTTTTAGAGCTTCCCTTGATGTTTCTCACCTTTATTTCTTCTTTCTTTCTTCTGTTTTCCAGCCTCTGAGATTGTTCTTTCATAGTGACCTTTGCTGACTGATGTTCCCACCTGCTGCCTAAACATGCTTTTGCCTGGGTTCAGCCCTGCCCTCTGCCCGGTGTCATCGAGACACCCTGGCCACAGCTGGCCCCTCACCTGCACCACGAGCTATCACTCACAAAAAAAAGTGTTTCAGAAAGCAGGTTCTTGCCTGTGCTGGACTTGCCAAGAGACATTCCTATGTGTTGTTTTAGATCTTCCTACAGAGCAAGCAAGAAGGAGGCTGGATTTCAGTGATAGAAACGGTTTGAACATTTAATGAAGACCTAGAGTTCCAGGTATAGTTGTATTTTTGTAATTTTTTTCCTATCCTGATGTTTTATTAGCACTTAATTGTGGTTGACTTTGCAAATTTGGCTGCAATGCACCGATCCTGTAGAGCGAGCAGAGAGGTGGAGCAAGGCCCCTCAGGATCCCAGAAGATTTCATTTCTAGAATGCTCCTGAGCAAGGTCTGCTTCCTGTCACTCAGCCCCTGCCAGTGCGGAAGCTGGTGGTGTTTTCTGGTCTCTGATGTGTGGACCCTCTTAAGTAGAACTGGTTTTACCTTTTTGCATGTGGTAAATATATGTTAATCAGTTTAAACTTGGTACCAACTTGAATGTAGTAAATATATGAAGCCAAGTTTTATTTTTTAAAACTTGCCTTTAAAATCAGATGTAATTAACTTCTGTTGTATACCAGCCAGCCACCTTAAGAGGTGCTTTAACTATTGGTGTTTGATTTTAATGTAGGAATAGTAAGTAGTTAAGATTTTGCTACTAGTCTAGGAAAAATAACATTTTCTCCAGAAAGGTGACAGATTTCTGGATGTAATAAATACTTTAACTCTGAACTCGACAGCAGTGAGTCATTGTGAAAATAAACATGTTTTTCAGTGGACAACACACATCTAAAATGCAGGCTGACTGTGGCTCTCCTTGGCCTCCCTTGCCCGCTGTGCTTGGATCATGAGGGTGTTGGAGGAGAGTCTCTTCTGCGTGCTGCTCCCAGTCCTTCACCTGCTAGCGAGCGCTGCGGAGCATGAGGAGGTGGCAAAGCATGTGATCAAGCTGTACCGCGGGAAGGGAGCCACTGCTGCCCAGAGGAAGCAGTGGGTGCTGGACAGCTGCCGGAAGCTCACTGGGCTCCTGCGGCAGAAGAATGTGGTTCTGAACAAACTGAAAAATGCAATCCGAGCAGTGGAAAGAGACTCTGGCCTGTCCAATGAGGAAAAGCTGTTCCAGGTGCACATGTTTGAAATCTTCCAGAAAGAGCTGAATGAAAGTGAAAACTCAGTGTTCCAGGCCATCTACGGGCTGCAGAGAGCCCTGCAGGGGGATTACAAGGATGTTGTCAACATGAAGGAGAGCAGCAAGCAGCGGCTGGAGGCCCTGCGGGAGGCCGCCATCAAGGTCAGCCTCCAGGCTAGGGGTGGCTGTGCAGTGTAGCAGTGGGTGTGATCTGGCAGGGCGTGTGTCCTGCAGGAGGGCACGCACCCCGACTTGCTGCATGGCAGCTGTCACCACTTGCAGGAGGACCCAGGTCCAGTGCTTTTCTGTCATGGGAATGCCTGCCACTCAGCTTGTGGTCATAGATGGAGGTTCAGGGTGAGGGAGGGCATCTCACCCAGTGCGTCCTCGATGCTCAGCCCTTGAGGGATTTTTATGTGAGGATGCTGTGACCTTGACCCATGAGATGCAGTCCTTAGAACACGAAGTAGTCTGTCCTTGAGCAGTCCTCAGCTGTATTTGTAAATACCATCAACATTTGTTTATTTCCTGTAAGGAATTCCTTTCAGTGTGAAGTTGGGCTGTCTTCAATGACCATATACTGAAAAAAATATTAAAATTAGTTTTAAATAAATGCGAACCTTTAAATTCAGGAGTTTGATCAAATATACATTCAAGATGATAAGAAGAAAGTACTACTGTTTCCGATGAGGTAGTATTTGTATTTTTTAAGCAGTTGTTTTTGGGTACCTGTTACAAGCCAGGCACCATGCCAAGCACTTAAAAACACGAAGTACCATTTCATCTTCATAGAAAAACCCATTGTACTATTATTACACAGCTTAAAAAGTACAGATTGCGGATACTTTAAACTTCCTTTACCAAGATACGGAGACATAGGGTGGAACATTTAAGTCAAGGCTTCTAGTGCCCCTGATGCAGCTGTCCCGCCTGTGACCCTGCAACTGCCCTCAGGGACAGGCCGTGTGCTTGAACTAGTGTCCCTGCCTCACAGGACTCCTGGGCAGGCAAGACAATGGGATTCCTTGATTCTAAGTAGGAACCCTTAGGGGAGTGCAGATTTGTGGCCATTCTGTTAGGAAAGAGGCAAAGATGACTTGTGGCATCTTCAGGAGCTTCAGATTTTGGGGCTTCTGCTCAGGGTCCTGACGCCCTCAGCTTGGCCACAGCAACTGTGGTAGAGGCACCGAGATGGCCTCGGGATCTCTGCCGCACGAAGCAGCCATGCTTATGGGTGGTGCCTGGCACCACCCTGTCCCAGCCAGGGCCTTCCCTTTAGATGTAAGTAAGAATTGTAACATTAGGTTATTGATTATTATTGCAGCTGGGCGTGGTGGTGCACACTTGTCATCCCAGCACTCTGGAGGCTGAGGCAGGAGGATGGCTTTGAGTTCGAGGCCAGCGTGTGCTACATAGTGAGTTCAAGGCCAGCCTGAACTACATAGAAAGCCCCTGTGTCAAAAAACAAATACTGTATAAAATACATTAACTAAATTCTGTTCCCAGAACCACCCATCAGTTTTCAGATAACTGGCTCTATATGTCTACGTTTTGGTGGAATGACCCCCCACATACACACCGGGAGTGGACGCCATCCTGATTGGAAATGCAGGAAGTAGCTCTGTGTCCACGTGCCGCAGCTACTTTGGGGTGCTCAGCAGGCAGTTCTGTGAGCAGACAGCCTTCAGAGAGGAGAGACCCTTGCAGGAGGATTTCCCCTTGGACGTTGTGGGGTGACTCCCTGTACACTGTGATTACCTAGGACAGGTTTAGAGTCCCTGCATGAGCAGGAGCCTGGACCCAGAAGCAGCTGTGCAGCTGGTCAGGCCAGAGCCCTGTGGGTCTGAGGATGATGTCTCAGTGACTCTCATTCTTGCTTCTCACAAATGCATAGGAAGAGACAGAATATGTGGAACTTCTTGCTGCAGAAAAACACCAAGTGGAAGCCCTTAAAAATATGCAGCATCAAAACAAGAGTCTGTCTATGCTCGATGAGATTCTCGAAGACGTGAGGAAGGCTGCTGATAGGCTGGAGGAGGAGATAGAAGAGCATGCTTTTGATGACAACAAATCAGTAAGCACCTTCTTCACAGCCTGCTGCCAGCCGAGCTGCTTTGGTGGAGATGGGCCTGAAAGCTGGCGAGAGTGTGAGTGCATATGTGAGTGTGTGCGAGAGAGAGAGAGAGAGAGAGAGAGGGAGGGAGAGAGGGAGAGAGAGGGAGAGAGAGGGAGGGAGAGAGAGGGAGGAGGTCAACAATGGGAATAAGCTGGGACACTTGTGTGTCTCATGGAAAATCACATGACCTGGTCTCTGGAAGCAAGCTAGTTATCCTCTTTTTTTTTTTTAATACCCTTAATTTTGTTTTTTTGAGCCAGGCTTATTGGCACACGCCTGTAACCCCAGCACTCTGAGAAGCTGAGGCAGGAGGGTTGCAGTTTCAAGACCTACCTGAGCAATTTAGTGAAACCCTGTCTCAGAATTTTTAAAAAAGGACTGAGGTGCCTAAGTCCCTGGGTTCAATCCCCAGGACTGCCAAAACAGAGGGAAAAAAAAGGTTTTTTCTGAGATAAGATCTTGCTATACAGTGTAGGCAGGGCTTGAATTTGCAGCGATCCTCCTGCCTCAGCCTCCTGAGTACTGAGATTACAGGCATGTGCTGCTGTTTCTGGCAACTCCATCAGAGAGTCTATTCTGTAAGTGCTTTGCAGAGAATAGTGCTGTACCAGAAGCAGGATTTGGGCTGCTCCCTTGTCATATGTTAGGATCCTAAAAACAAATTTGGGATGGGTGCAAATAAACTGACCATAGATCTTAGGATGGACTCACAAAAAGGCGGAGGTAATCTTTTTTGCCGATCAGAATGAGAGCAGGGAAAAAGGGAGAGAATAAAGAGTGAAAGGGAAGGGTATTTAAAAATGTACTAATTTTAAGTATTTCAAGAGCTGTGAAATTTTGAAAGAATTGGCCTTAAATGAGTAAGGTAGATGTTTGCCGTGGCGGCAGCCCTAGACGTTTCCACCCTTAGATTCTTTACCTGCAGAGAAATGACCTCACTGATGTCTGTGAACAAACATTGCTCCTTGCTATCTCCTGCTGCTCTGCCTTTCTGCTGGGAACAAGGTGTTGAACGTGGGGTTCTGGTGCCCAGCGCTGTCTACTCCCCAGGTCAAAGGTGTCAACTTTGAAGCGGTTCTGCGGGTGGAGGAGGAGGCTGCCAGTTCGAAGCAGAACATCACAAAGCGGGAGGCTGAAGATGGCCTGGGCCTCAGCATGCTGATCGACTCGCAGAACAACCAGTACATCCTGACCAAGCCCCGCGATGCCACCATCCCTCGTGCTGACCACCACTTCATCAAGGCAAGCCTGGCACAGCCTCCCTGGGGTGGCCAGCAGGGTGGGCCGTGGCCAGTGGGCCTCATACTGGGGTGAGTGGCCTTCTGCCTGATAGTGTCCCTCGTGGCTGTGGCTTTAGACAGTTTTCTTAATTTTTAATTTTTTCCTTTAAGGGAAAATACATTAAATGAAATTTAATTGTTTTTTGAGGATTTGGAATTAGGAGTTATAGTGATGGGATTAAAGCTTCAGTTTTCTGGAAACTAGTTTCATAAGACACTGAGGCAGGAAGATTTCTGGAGCCCAGGAGTTTGAGACCAGTCTAGGCAACATTGTAAGACCTTTATTCAAAAGAAATAAAAAAAAAATAAAAGCTATTTTTGCTAAACTAGAAAGCTCCTATGGGGTAGAGGAGTTTGTGCTAAGGATTCCTACCTGGACTCCTTCAGGCATGGAGGGTGGAGCAGGTCTCCAGCGTGCAGCAGGAGGTCACACACCTGCGACCCCCAGGGTCCACGAAACGGGGACTGCTGTGCAGTCAGCGGGCCTGGCCTGCAGCTCTCAGGGACGCCTGGCAGCCTCCAGTCCATTGCCGGGTCTGGGTAGAGCCCTAGCACTGGAACCTCGTATGGGGACAGGAGCTCAGACACAGGCCCGGGTCTGCCTGGTGGGGCCCCCTCCAGGCTGAGCCCACAACAAGGTGCTGTCTCGGTTCTGACCGGAGCCTGCGCCCTGCTGGTGGTGGTGTTCTCCGAGAAGCAGCCTTCTCTCCCTTCGTGATGAGCTAGCAATGCTGGGGAGCTGCTTTGAGGCCACGTGGGCACCCTGTTCCCCCACTCTCTCATCGTGGACTCCACACCCCTGACAGACAGACTCCTCTCAGCCCTGCTGTCTGCCTTTCCTCCTGGAGAGGATGTTGGGCCCTGTCCTGTCCTGCCCTTCTTGTCACCCAGCTGCTAGCTAAGATGGGTTTCTCATGTGTTTACCCTACATCAGGACATTGTCACCATAGGAATGCTGTCCCTGCCTTGTGGCTGGCTGTGCACAGCGATAGGTCTGCCCACCATGTTTGGGTACATCATCTGCGGGGTGCTCCTGGGGCCGTCGGGACTGAACAGCATTAAGGTGAGAACAACGTTTAATTCTTATAGTGTCTAGCAGGATGCAAAGGAAACACAGACAGTGAAGGCCCTGGCTTGCATCAGCAAAGGGACCAGTGTCATGCACCATGCCTGGAGATGCCCTTGGAGGGTTGTGTTTTGGTGAGAGTAGCTTGGCTGGAGGAAAAGCCCTGTCTGTCTCTAAGTTGCATTTGTGTTAAAGATTCCACATCTAGCAACTTGAGGTACTGCAGTGGCCACACCACCCTCAAACACTAAAAGCAGCTAATGCTGGGCTTGGCATGTTTTAAAGCAGTCTCTATGGAGGGCAAAGCTGCCTGAAACTCCTGTCTTGAGAGGCTGCGGAAGCTGCGACTGCTTTTGCCATGGCTGTTTGTGGAGCAGGTTGCTTCACCCAGCACACATGGTTGCATCTGGGAGGGAGGGAGGGGTGCCAGCGGTGCTGTGCACACACACCTGAGTGGGCAGATGGGAAGAGGACGTGCGTGGGGCAGCAGGCAGGTGAGACAGCGCAGGAGGGACCTCTGGGGGTTAAGCCCCACAGTCTCCCAACCTCGCCAATGCACTCAGCGTGGTGGCAGGAGAGGCAGATGAGGAAGAGCAAACCTGGAACCAGGTTGGAAGAACTCAGCAATTTCCCCAGATGGAAGCATAGCAGAAGGGTCTGAAGAGGTGGCCACACAAGACCAGTCTTGCAGCATAGAAGCACTGGCCAGGCCAGAGCCAATCCATCTGGCCATGTCAGGCTGAAGCTTTGGGCCTTCCAGGGAGTAGTGAACATCACCAGCATGCAGTGCCACAGCCCTGCGAGAGCCCACGCACACTCAGCCGGGCACAGTGGGCTCTGTTCAGTGCTGTCCCCTGCACTGGCATTGTCTCGTGGTTCAGAGCACTATCAAAAGCTTTCCTGGCTCTCCCACCCTTCCGGAGGGTGGCAGGCAAAAGCAGGTATGGCTGAAGAGGTTGCTCACAGCAGGAGGGAGGCAGGGTGATGGGTAACATCACGGCTGGGGGCTGTGGGCAGCCCTGCCTCAGGAGGCAGCCACTGTGGAAAGGCAAGGTGGGTGCGAGTGGGCGGGGAGCGTCCCCGGGAAGGACAGTTATGCCAAGACACTCATCTTCTCCGCAGGAAATCGCCAGGCTTTCACTTGCCACAGCGAGAGACACAGGCTTGAGTATCTTATTTTGAAGTCATAAGTCACAGCCTGATAAGAAAAGGAAAGAAAAATAAAAGAAAAAGTAACAAAAAGGAAGCATAAAGATAAGAAGATGTCAAAAGAGCACTGGGTCTGTAGCTCAAAGGCAGAGTGCCTGCCTGGCAAGGCAGGTCCTGAGTTCAATCCCTGGTACCAAAAAAACCCCAAGACCGTGTCGAGAGAAATAAGTGCAAACAAATATCTGGTATAACAGTAAATATAAGTGGAATAAACTCTCCCATTAAAAGGTAGAGGCTTATATGTGGTATCCAAAAAAAAATACTATAAACAAGAGATTCAGTAAAACTAAAGCAGTTAAGTAAGGTTAAACTTAGATACAAATAAAAGCAGGATGGGAATCCTAACACAGGAAGTCAGTGAACACTGGAGTCCGGAACTCCTGGAGGAACAGTGGAGGCACTTAGCAAACTGCACAGCTAGGAGGTGTCATAGAGACGTAAAATACTGTGTACTCTGTATTTATCTAGTATAATAATGTTAAAAATAAGTAACAGATGAAGAATCAGGACAAATACAGAGCCCAGTATATCGGAACTTGTGGGACGTGGCCACGTGTAGTGCTCATGAGAACATTTATCTGCCAGACAGGTTGGACCCCACCGGGAAGCCAGTGTGGATGGCCAGGCACAAGCTCGGCCCCAGAAAAGGCTGAAGAAAGCAGCAGACAGAAGTGGCGATGGATTTGGAAGTTGATGAACTGAAGGGGTTTTTAGAAAATAAAATGAGAATTATTTCTCTGGCTAATTAAGAAAAAGGGGGAAGCAGGAAGTCAAAATGACCTCAGGTATAGAAGTTCAGAGAATTCGTTTCTTTAAAAAGCACCTTTTTGGCGGATGCCCCGAGGCCCTGGGCACAGCTGGCGGAGTGCATGTGGTACATTAAGCATGAAGTGACCTGGTTCTTGTTTTCTTGCTTTCCAGTCTATTGTACAAGTGGAGACATTAGGAGAATTTGGAGTCTTCTTTACTCTTTTTCTTGTTGGCTTGGAGTTTTCCCCAGAAAAGCTGCACAAGGTAAGGACTCAATCTGTTACTGCCCTTGAGCAGCTGCACATCAAAGGGTTTCAATTTGTTCACTTTTAACATTTGTTGCCAACTTAGTCACATTGTTTTTAGGATGGAGTGTGGTATTTTAGCTTGATATTATTAAAACATAAATATGAAAAGAAAAATACACGGTTTGAAAAACTTAAAATTCAGCAAATGAAATTAACTTCCATGTGGCTAATTCTAGAAAAGAGCTAAGAAGTAATATTTGAACTTTACCTCACAACTGTGTAAGGATGAAGCGTCCTAGACGGTGAATATTCCGTGTGTTATCCTAGCACACAGTTCCAGAGATGGGCACCAGTTAATCAGGACTCCTTTTACTTCAGCCACGCCTCACAGACGAGGCAAATAGTGGTAGGCAGTGGCGGGCTGATCAGAGAATGGCTGGAGTGAAGACAGGCTCCTCATGCCAGACAGCGTGCTCTTGCTTAGGTAGGGAGGTGTCCATGGGCCAGAGACCTCTGAGGGCAGCTGGCAGGTGCAGGAGAGGCTGTGACCAGCAGGTCCTACTGGGCCTCAGGAGAGGAGGGATCCCAGTGTGAGTTTGGAGCTTTATCCATGGAAATAATTTTAACTTCTCTTTGTAATTTGCTTAAGAAAGATTGGAGCAATGCTGAATGTCTGGTGGTTAATTTCTTGATGGAATGTCATATAGCCATTAATATATTATCAGAATGTGTAACGCAAAGAAAAACGATGGTTAAAGCACTAAACCTAGAGGAAGAAAATGAAGGCAGGTACAGTGGCGCACCCAGTGATCCCAGCTACCTGAAGGCTGAGGCTGGAGGATGTGAGGCCAGCCCAGGCAACACAGTGAGATCCCGTCTCAAAAAAAACCGAATGGCATGAGAAGGAGCAGGAGCTAACCACACCAAGTAGATGGTGATGCCTTTTTCTCTTGTCCATGTTTTCTAAATTTTCTATACTTGTGTTTGCTTTCAAGCTATCCACTCTGGTTTCTGACAGTTTCTTTCGACGCTTCTCCTGTGTGTTGCCCTGGTCCATCCTGCTATCTCTAGGACCTTCACGTGCTTACGCATCTTGCCACTCTATCTGCACTTCGTGGGAATGCCTGCTTCCTCCCGGGCATTCCGGATCGCTGCAGGGCTTCCTCTAGCTTCTCTCATGTCTGTTCGTGCGTCCAGTGTGATAACCCCACACCTAAGTTTCTGAACTTACAGCTTAAGGAAATTGACCACTGGCCCATGGCCTAAAGAAAAGCAGCTTGTTCTTCCTGTGAGTTCTCTGGGAGCATTGTGGGCAGGGAGGAGAACAGGTGTAGCTGGAGCGGGCTCCTAGGGCGGCTGCTTCTCTGCAGGAGCCCAAGACCCGGCAGCACAGACTCCCTCTCAGGCCGGCTCCAGGGAAAGCGAGGTGAGGGTTCGCTTCCCAATGTGTTTCTTCAGTGATGTTCACACCCAGGATTGGCTTAGAACGAGTTGGGTGGGGGGCTTTGGTTTTGCCAGGAGTAGCAGCAGGACCTGTAGTAGGAATTTGGGAGATTAATGTTTCTTCTGGCTCTAAACCTCCATCATTTGTGTTTTTCTACTGTAGTATTCAAAGCTAAATAATTCAATGATGTCACCCAAAGCTCACATAATAATTTCAGACACTGCCTAGCAGTGTCCCTGTGTCAGTCCTGGCGTTGTTCCTTTGTGTATTTGAGACCCCTGGGTCTGCGCCAGATCTGAGTGGGGCTGCTGGGAAGGAGGGGTTACTGTGGTGCTGATTACACTTGGCTGGTGGTGATGTGGTGGATGAGTGGGCAGAACGCTGCACTGGGACCCTGACATCCTTGAGCCTTCACTGGGCCCCGAGCTGGTGGTGGGGCTATGTTTCTCACCCTTTCTCTTCAGGGTCCTCTTTTTGAGCTTGGGCAGCTGCTGAGGGGCAGCCCTGACCTTTATGCACCTGACCGTCCAGTTTTCATCACCTAAAACGTATCCTACTGCTCTTTCCGGTCTATGGATTGAGGTTGCAGGAAGTTGATGTCCAATTAACAAACATATTTATTAAGTATTTTGCTCATTTTTGCTCTTTTGTTATCAGATGTGAGTAACTGGCAAAGCTTTAGATCAGCCTGAAATAGCCAGGAGGTGGCTGAGCATACACAGGACTCCTCCATGGGTTTCAAAAAGATGTATCTCAGGCAAGAGAGGAGAAGACACCTGGAGAGGCCAGGCGCCCGCTGAGCAGGGCCACAGCCCAGGGTTGTTGGTGGTGCTTCCTGTACCCAGTGGTGGGAGTCCCCAGGGGCCTGCAGGCTGCATTTCTGACAGGTGCCGGGAAGCCCCTCTGACCAGAAGCTTCTGACTGACTGGTCTGAGCCTTTTCCCTGGGGCCTTCTGCCGGAGGAGAGGCACTGGATGATGGGCTTAGAGAAGGTCCACTCTGGTAGGGACTTCAGGGCCTCAGGCCATGCTGCTCGGGTACAGAGCCACTTAGGCAGCCTTGAGGTTGAGCAGACCCCTACATCGGGGCTCACAATAGTCCAGGCAGTACCTGCCCAGAGCCCAGCCTCGTAGCCCAGCACCAGTCTTGGTGGTCGTGGTAGGAAGAGGAGGAGCACAAGTTAGCTTTAGGGCACCATCACAATCTAACCCTAACCCAAGCACAGGAAGTAGGAAAGTGCATCTGAGCATTGGCGAGCAGCCTTTGGGCACCGGTTGCCTTCCCCTCGTGGCAGGAGAGAGCAGTGTGGTCAGTGTGAGTTGCATGGCAGAGGACCCTGAGTGGCACCTGGACTCAGCTCTGCTGGACTTGGCCCTTGACCTCCCCACGAGCTCCCTTGAGCCTCAGCTGCCTTGTGCCAGGGCTTGGTGACCTGGAAGGAGCTGTGATGCCTCCCTGACCCTGGGTTGGCTGGGCAGGCTGGCTGCAGGCCATGCTATGGGGGTTCAGGTGAGGTCTCCCCACAGCCAGTGTAGGAAGAGCCTTCTTGTCCCCAGGTAGCAGAGACGAGGAGGATTCTTTCCCCTGACTTCCCAGCACTGAGGGAAAGGGGCCAGAGGGTGGGTGCATGGAACTCCTTCGGGAGTTGCACTTAGGGAGCTTGGCTTTGACTGAGAGCATGCAGCAGGGAGGAAAATGAACGTGCACACAGGTAGAACAGGATGAGTTTCCAGTTAACACATGTTGCTGGTGCTGGAATCAGTGTGGTGGTTTTAATCATATCTCTCCACTAGATTGAGCCCTTGCAGGTTAGGGTCAAACCTGGTTCCTTCCACATTTCCCATCCCATTTGGGACAGTGCTAGTTGCATATTGAGCACGTAATAAATATCTGTTTGCCTGTTGAGCCACAAGGCTTGAACTTGCCTCTTGTTCTGCGGGTCCCAGTGTCCTTGTGCAAATTACTCCACCTCTGTGTGTCTCAGTATTTTCATCGAAAAATGGGCAAAGAAGTCTAGTCTCTAAGATTTGCCCTGAGGATTTTTATTGACATACACACAGAAATACATAAAAATATATGAGAAATAGATCATGTATGGCCCCCTGTCAGCCGTGTACCTCTGTGGGTTCCACATCCATGAGTTCAGCCAACTGCAGGTTGAAAAACCTCAGGAAAAAACTCGTGTCTCTAGTGAAAACGTGCAGACCTTTTCTTCTGTTGTTCCCTAAGCAGTGTAGTATAACAGCTATCTGCACGGCCTCTGCTTTATTTTAGGTCTTGTAAGTCATCTCCAAGTGATCTAAGGTACACAGGGGCAGTGTACGGGCTGATGTGCAAACTACGCTGTTTCTGTCGGGACCTGAGTGTTGAAGGGCTGTGGGGTTTGGTGGGTGCCCCCTGAATGTACATGTGTTGTGTGTGTGTGTGCACACACCTGGGATGAGGGTCACTGTGTCAGGATCGGCTGGGTGTATGGCTAGAGTTGCTTCCCTGGAGGGCAGGGCGTGGTCACTGGAGGGCACTGTGGAGAGCTGCTGTCCCTGGGATGTGCATAAACATGTGTGCTCTCTTTAAGGTGTGGAAAATATCCTTGCAAGGACCGTGTTACATGACGGTACTCATGATTGCCTTTGGCCTGTTGTGGGGACACCTTCTTCGAATCAGATCCACTCAAAGTGTCTTCATTTCGACTTGTTTGTCCTTATCGAGCACACCCCTGGTGTCCAGGTTCCTTGTGGGCAGTGCCCGGGGAGATAAAGAAGGTAGGTGATGTGTGTTCTGAGTGCGTGTGGAGTTCGTGCTCACCTGGAGTTCACTTGTGAGTTCACAGTCCGAGGCTTATGAGGAGGAACTGCAAGTCCTCTCCCCTCAGGGCTGTCCAGGCAGCCATGGCTTCTCAGGCCTGCGCTTAGCAGGGGACTGGGTACCTGGAAGCTCAGCGTCTGCAAGCCACCACTTGTTCTCCAGGTTGAAAGAAAGAGCTGTTACCTGCTTCCAAATGAAGGATAGTTTGAGACTTGAGAGACACTGGACCGAGGTTCAAAGAAAGCAGCCAAGATGGGTGGCTGAAGAGGCCAGTGCCGCTGTTCCCTGTTTTAATCTCGGCAAGTTCCAGGAGTGGACGTGCCTGGCACTTAGAAAGGGGCACCTAGCTCCTGCCCCTGGCTTTGGTTTCACCTGAGTGTGAACAGAAAGACAAGAAATGGGAAAATCACAGAAGAAATTCCCCTGGGGCCTGGGTAGGCAGCTCGAAGTCCGTGGACAGGAGGCCACTGTGGAACAGTCAGGCGAGCAAGGCCTCACAGGGTCCCACTTCTACAGCGTGTTTGTCTGTGAGGAAAGCTCTCACGGCTTTGCTTTTATTCTATGAAAGTCCTTAAAATATACGGTAAGGGTGTCATAGTAACTTCACACTGATGTCCCATCCACTCAGGAATCGAAGAAAATGTGGAAAGAGAGCCAGAGAGGCATGGCCAGCCCCTCCTGGACACAGAGCAGCCCTGTGCTGGGCTGTGTGCAGCGCCAGCCCTGGGCCTCCCGAGTTCTGGGCCAGGAACCAGAGCCCTGAGCCCGTTGTAGCCACACTGAGTTCACGGACTATGTGACAGGTTCAGAAAACTGCCACCTGCTTTGGGACTGTGGTATGGATGCTGACCGTCCACCACTAGCACCAGCTGCCTCCGCCCCAGCGGCCACCTTGTGAGCTGATGCTTATGATGACACCCCTTTCCCATCCGCCTCCTTGAGAACTGCTCGAGGACCAGTGGTCAGGAGCTGATGGAGGCGGCAGGGACGAAGCGGGTACAGTGATGGAGTATGGAAACCACTCCTAATGGGTCTGCCTCACCCCAAAATCTGTACACCTGCGAGGAAATCTGCCACTAGAAAAGCAGCTGTCAGACTCAGTCCTCATGATGTTCACTCCCTTTTTCATAAGCAAGCACTGTAAAGACTTTAGAAAAAGACCCCAATAGCCACAGTACGAATTTTCTACCCATGCAGAAGCTTGGTAAAGGCTTTAGAGTGAGCATGCTAGGAACACCGGCAGCGTAAATGAAAGTTCCACCTCTGCTTACTTGGCTCACACAGAAGGAGCATGGAACAGACACCAAATGGAAAAGATCAGAGAGGAAACTTTCGTGCCACCAGGGTGGGCGGCTCAAAGTCTACGAGATAGGAGAGGCTGGGCAGTAAGTGGCTGCAGTCTCTTAGTCTTTACATTCAGAGTACATCTCCAAAACTGAGGAGAAGAACAAAGCTCAACTTACTCTGGGCGTGCCACATCAGAAAAGGGACGGCAAAAAAGGGGGACAGCAGATGGGCACAGGAGCTTCTCTGGGTATCGGGAGGTAGTGGACAGTGGTTGGGAAATATTCCACATGCTGGGGTGGATGGGCCCTTTGTACCCGAGGTACTGCTGAAGAGCGGGGCGGGACGACAGCGCTGACGGCCCCAGGTCCCACCCCCGGGGCGGCTGGGTCGGATGGGACAGATGCCGCAGGCACAGAGATGTCTGGAGTGGATAAACCTACTGTTTGCTGTTAGAGAAGGAGACTGTGGCATGTGTTTTCGTAAGAGCCACCCTGAAACAAGGCAGGAGTCACCATTCATGGGTAGTGTTGAGGACATAGACTTTGACACGAAATTTGTAATTAAGGATGTTAAAATGTAATATGCCTGCAGCATAGTTAGAAAATTTAATTTGAAAAAAGTGGTTCAATTTATAACGGTAATAAAAAGTACAAGAAGTGCTGGACTAAATCTCTCAAAAGATATATGCCACCATTATTGTATTTTTTTCCTTTTTTTTCTTCTGAGACAGGGTCTCACTGTGTAGTTCCGACTGGCCTTGAACTCACTGTGTAGCCTAGGTTGGCCTTGAACTTGAGGCAATCCTCCTGCCTCAGCCTCCCAAGTGCTGGGATTACAGGTGTGAGCCACTACACCTGGCATATGTCACCTTTAAAGGTAAACATCCCAAAATGTTACTAAGACAACTGGAGAGAGTTCAGCACATAAAGATGTAATTTCTCCTTAAATTTGTAAACTCAGAACTATTCTAGTAAAAGGTCTGGCAGGGTATTACACTGAGCTTGGCAAACTGTAAGATTTATTTAGAACCAAAGGCCAAGAATAGTTGACATAAATTTGAAGTGAGGAGCAAACCCTCCTGACCAGGGCTGATGATGGTGCCGTGACAAAGTCACACAACCTTGCCACCACTTAGATGGGGCAGCAGATGGCCCGGGCACCTCAAGGGGGTAGGAGAAATGGGTAAGTAAATGGGAAAAGCTATCCACATGAAAATAGTACTGTTCGAGCCCTGTCCTGAGCTACATACATGAAGTTATGGATGAAGCATCTATGTGTGAAAAGTAGAACTTTGAAACTGTTAGGAGGATGGGCCGGGGATTTAGCTCGGTGGTGCCGCTGCCTGCCTCATAAGCACAAGGTCCTCAGTTCGATCTCTGGTACCAAAAAAGAAAAAAAAAAAACTGTTAGGAGGAAATACAGGAGAAATATCTTATGACCCCAGGGTGGAATGAATTTCTTTTTTTTTTTGTACCAGGGATCGATGAATTTCTTAAAATCAAAAGAGTCCCAGATGGAGAGCCTTGGTAGATAGGAACATAGCTAACACTCTCAAGTTTATTCCAAGGTTTTTTTTAGCCACAGGGTGTGGAAAGACATTTGCTCACTTTCCATAATGAGCAAAGGATTCAAACCCAGAGCATTTTGAGAATGTCTGGAAATCCAAACAGGAGAGAGCCTAGTAGGAAAACGGGCAGAATGTGCCACAGAAGGCACCCAGGTGTGGGAAGCACACAGAAAGATGCTGGGGCTTGCTGGGTGGCAGGGGAATCGGACCGCTAGTGGAGGGGCCCCTTCCTTCACCACCTGAAATGCTTTAATGGTGTCGCAGTCGAGGAGGACCAAGCCCTGGAGCCCCTCAGCATGCTCAGTGGAAATGGGATGGGTCCAGGCACTTTGGAGTCAAATTCACAGCGGAAAGCTCATCCATCATCTGTTATATAGCCTAGAAAATGTTTGCGGATGTGCAAGAGTGAGACAGCATTCATTTCTTTGACACATCCTGAATAGCAAAAGTTGATGTGAGTATCCACTAAATGCTGGATAATTAAGGCATATTCATCAACACACTACAGACAGGGTGTGGGTTAATCCTGCGGTGTTGTGGGGAAATGAGATGCAGGACACAACGTTGGGAGGAGATGTTGGGTTTGTAAAGTTTGAGGACCTGTAAAACAGACAAATTTAAAATCTCTTTGAGAAAACTGAAGCATTTTAAAGACTAAAAACTTTTTTTTTGAGTTGGGGTCTTGCCACACTGGCGAGGCTGGTCCTCAGCCGGGTCAGGTGATCCTCCTGGCTCAGCCTCCTGAGTAACTGGGGCTACAGAGGTGTGTGCCACTGCCTGGCTTCAAAGAGATTTCAAGGGTTATTCAGGTTACCAAAATTATTCAAGTTATTTTGGAAACACACAGATGACTATACCTGACTTCAGGGACTCCTTAAGTGTGTGAGGCTGCATTCTGAATGCCTGTCTCTCCAGCAGGTGACCTGGACTACAGCGCCGTGCTGCTTGGCATGCTGGTGATGCAGGACGTGCAGCTGGGGCTGTTCATCGCTGTCATGCCGACGCTCATACAAGCAGGGGCCAGCTTGTCTTCCAGGTAAAGGTCAGCGCGCACTCTGCTTTTCTGGAGCGAAGCTGTTGGTGACCGTGCTGGCTAACACCATTCTCAAAGGCTGTCCAGAGCCTGTGACACTGTGGTGCTGCTGGCCTTGGCGCTGTTGCTTGTAGCTCTTGGGCACCAGTGAACGGGGCAGTGTCACTGTCCCTCTGCTGTGCCATCTCTCAGGTGGAGATGGGAGTAGCACCCCCTTGGGTGGCTGGGAGCACTGAATGAGCGAAGACACAGGTGTGCTAGGGCAGCCCCTCAGCAGAGACGGTGGTGTGTGTGAGTACGCACGTATATGGGCTTGTACACCTGGTTGTGAATGGTGTATGCATGCATATATGGGCACATATGTGGATTGGCATGCATGGGTATGCGTGCATGCTGTAGGTCTGCATGCATATGGCGTGTTGCATGTGTGAAAGCTGTTGTTGCAGTGGTGTTTGTGATTGTCATCATTATTACCATAATCCCCTGATCCGTTTCCATTTTCCCAGTAAAGTGAGCCCAAAGCTATAGTGTACCTGCTGGGTTCATGTGGAAGGAGAAGCCAGCTGGGAAAGTGGCGGCATCCAGACGGCAGTGGGTTATGAGCATGTGCAAATGAGCTGGTGGAGCCAGAAACAGCACCACTGGAAAGTGCAGGAGCCCTGGGCACATACGGGGAGACTACACTGGGGTAGGACACACTCAGGCTTCCTCAAGCAGAGGAGCTGTCATTTACGCTTACATGTATTGTGCTTCAGCTCTCTCCAGGGCCAGCAGGTACTACATCACTGACAGCAATTATGCAGCTGGTCTAAAACGAACAGACCAGTTTTTGGAGCCAGTTTAAGTCACTAAGACCTGTCTCATTCACCATTCCTAATCTGCCTGTTTTTGTTTTTCTTGTGCCTCATTGTATTGGCCAGAATTTCTAGGGCTTTGTTAAATGGGACTGTGTGAGAGAACATCTTTGCTTTCTCCTTAATTTCAGGAAGAGTGTTCAGTCTTCCACCATGAAGCATGATGTTAGCTGTAGGTTTTTGTAGATGTTCTGTGTCAAGTTGAGGACGTTTCGGGAGAGTTGTTATCATGAGTACTTGTTTGGCTTTTCGGTGCTGTAACCAATTTAAAGGAGGGAAGATTGATTTTAGGCCATGGTTTTCAGAGGACTCATATTCGCTGGGCTCTGCTGCTTCCATGCCCACAGTGAGGCCAACTGTCATGGCAGGAAGTGCAGAAGCCCTGTTACTCAGCTTTCTGTCACTGTGACCAAGTGCCTGAGAAAGTCAGCCTAAAGGAGGAGGATTGGCTGTGGCACATGGTTTTAGAGGGCTCAGTCCATGGTCACTGGGCTCCGCTCCTTCCGGGCCTGCAGTGAGCCAGAAAGCATCATGGCGGGGAGTGTGTTTAGAAGAATGCAGCCCACCTCATGTTGGGTGGAGACAGGGCGGGTGGAGACAGGGCAGGTGGGGAGGGAGAGGAAGCGAGGCCGGGAGCAGGATGTGGCCCCTCCTCGGTTGTCACCTTCACACACACAGGCCTTCCTCGCTGACCTTGGACATTGGCAGGGTCTGTGTGCTGTCCCTTGCTTGCTCCTTTGTCTTTCTTTCTGTTTGCTGTAGATTTCTTCTAGGTTCTTGTGGAACTTATGTTATTGATTTGAGACCTGTCTTTAGCGCTAAGCATTTGGGGCTATAAATTTCCTTCTCAGTGGTATTCTAGGTGGATCCTGGGTATGGATATATACTGTATTTTCATTTTCATTGAGTTTAGTGACTTTTTAAATTCCCTTCACTGTTTCCTCTTTGGCCCCGGAGTGCCCAGCACTGGCGCCTCACTTCCAAGCCCTGGAGAGTACCTGTCATCTGTTTCTAACTCCTACTTTGATTGCACTGTGACATCCTAGTAAATTAGGTGATTTCTGGTTATCTTTTGTCTATTATGTAAGCTTTTCTGTAATGTACCTCTCTTCCAATTTTAATAACCAGTGAAAATTTGTTATAAAAATAAATCATAGAAGTAAAGTCAGTTGTAATGTTAATATAGACTTTACTTCTTTGAGGCTTTATTCAGAATTAATCTTGATCTTTCCTAATGGGAAAAATCAACACCTCCCTCCAGACATTCCTCAGGCAAGGAATAGAACTCAGAGAGAACATTTCTAGTTTCCTGTATCTAAGGACAGGGGAAGATGGTTATGCCATACTAAAACCAGGGGTTAAGTCGCCTGTACATTTGTAAGAATTGTGTATCTCAGTTTCAAAAACGAAGCGAGCAGGTTGTGCTGTGAACACAGCCCTGGGCGAAGTGGAAATGCTCAGCTCTCCCCAAAGAAAGGCAAACAGCACTGCTTCCGGCCAGATCACAACTTACAAGTTGGCTGTTGCTCACATGGGTTGTGGCCGGGAGTGGGAATCAGAGCAGCCACCAGCAGAAATGAAGTGGGCTTCTCTTGACAGCGCCCTGTGTACACGCACGTGCCTGGAGACGGACGTGTCTGCTGCTGCGTAGCATGGGCTGGCTCTTGTGTAAGCTGTGACCTGCGAGTGAGCATGCTCACCCTGCTGCCCAGATGAGCAAGCCGCACTCTCAGTGAGGTAGCTGTGGTGTGAGTGGTGCCTTGCCAGGCACACCAGGGCTGATTCCCGGTGAGGAACTTTGCCATCAAGCATCCGCTGGGGTAGGAAAGCTGTCGATCGAGATTCTCTACATCCAGGGAATGTATTTGCTCCAAAGTATCTATTCAAAACAGTCCTCATTTACTTCACATAACTCAATTTCTGCGACTAACACAATTCTTATATTTTGTTTTAGTATTTGAAAGTAAAAACGTGCGTGACTTGGGTAATTTATTCTGTAACATGTTTTAAAAGATTGAAAGATCTTTTTGGAGACTTTTTAAAAAAGTTTTGAAACTGAAATAGTGCCTCTTTCTCTTTTTTCTTTTCCAGCATTATCATGGAAGTACTGCGAATTCTGCTCCTGATTGGTCAGATTCTTTTTTCGCTAGCTGCTGTTTTCCTTTTATGTCTTGTTATAAAGACTTATCTCATAGGACCATATTATCGAAAGCTGCATATGGAAAGCAAAGGGAACAAGGAAATCCTTATCTTGGGAATATCTGCTTTCATCTTTTTAATGTTGACGGTAATTCTCACACTGCCTGTGTTGTTGCACTTCTGTTTATAATCTCTCTAGAAGCTTGTGATCAGTTATCTTTTCATTTTACTAATGATTAAAATATTTGAAACACTAATACTTTCTATTTCATACATATTTTACAGTGCTAGAGCTAAACCTGTTTCACTTACATATTTACATGCCTAAGCACTTTGTGAAAATGTGACTTAGGAGTATTGCATTAACATCAGTGTCAAACGATGTTCCTCTGCCTTAAATTTTCAAACAACTTCATACCTGAAACAGTAGGTAAAGTTTAAAGCAAATTTTAGTACTGTTTGATGATGATGAGCTAGTTAGCAGTATCACTTCTATTGTCAGTAGTGTGAATGAGTTTGAAAACGTTCATGTTGGAAACGAGGCATCTTACCAGGATGCGCTTGTCACAGGAGAGCAGGGAAGTGGCCTGGATTCCTGCAGTGTGTATAAAAGACACTTTGCCCACTGCTTTCAGTGGTCCTTGTCAACGTCCTCGTAGCTGTACTTGTGTGTAGTGTGCCTGTGTGTAGTCGATGTGTGCACAGTGACCCATGTGCATGTATGTGTGTGGCATGGGTGAGCATGTGTGTGCGTGTGCATTTGTTTCTCTCTGCTCTGCCCCTTGGTCTGCTCACCTGCTCTCACGCTGTCTCTTGCTTGACCTCTGGTAGCAACCGGGCCCTGACATGGTTCTATGTCAGCATTCATCTTGGCTGTATTTATGTTCTTTTCAAATTCCACATGCATTTTCACACACGCGTCTTGTTGGATTCCGCGCCTCTGCCAAGCTGCTGAGGCGAAGTGAGGCCTCCTGGTCTGGCTGCTGTCACAGTCCGCCTGGCCTTGCTGGCGTCTTCGTGACGACTTGTGTTGGCTTTGGAGGTTGTGTGCTTCTGAGGGATCTGCCCCTCAGTGGTCCATGCTTTCTGATGCTGTTGTAAGTGGCATTCCTTCAGAAGTTCGTTTTATATTTGTCTGATGCCGTTGTTGGTCATCGATTTATTTTCTCAAAATAAAAAGCGTCTTCTTTCGAGTTGTTTTGTCAGTAAGGTTTCATCGAGATGCTTGTCCTGGGCTCTGTGTTAACCAGGACCAGAGGCAAAGCCCTTGTACCTCAGGCTGACCATTTTCCCTGGTCTGCCTCACTCATTTATGTCCTCAAATCCATCACTCCCTGGTTATTGGACGCTTTTCCCTGGGGTGTTGTCAGGCGGTTGCCTGTGAGTGACGCCTGTGTCTGCCTTCTCTGTGTGGCTTGAGGTTGGTGACAGGGATCCATTTTTAGGGCCAGGCTGGCTATTGATTGGTTCAGGTAGATACAGTGTCTCACAAATATTTTAAAATTTTCAAAAAGATTCCTATTCAGAGATACCACTGTAGCCTGCATCAGTGACTTCAAATATTTTAATTTTCCTTCCCAGTATTAACCCTTCCTGTCACCCCTCAGGTCTCCCCACAGGTCCTGGGGGGCTGGGCTCAGCAGCACCATGTGCCTGTATGACCTCCTGTCTGTCCTTGTCCCCAGGTCACGGAGCTGTTGGATGTCTCCATGGAGCTGGGCTGCTTCCTGGCTGGAGCGCTGGTCTCCTCCCAAGGCCACGTGGTCACTGAGGAGATCACGGCTTACATCGAGCCCATCCGGGACTTCCTGGCCATCATCTTCTTCGCATCTATAGGTACCCTTCAGGCCAGGGATTTAGCTCAGTGGTTCCGCTGGCTGCCTTGCAAGCGCAAGGTCCAAACAAACATAGATAACCTTCCTTCTCTGGTCACGGTTGTATTTGGAAAGCACTTGCAGATTAGTTCTGTTACGTGTTTGTGTGTAAATTTGTATTTTTCTAGAGTCTGGGAAAAATCTTACGTAAAAAGAGGGAAAATAGGCACAAAAAGACATGAATTAGTTGGTTGCTCGTGAAGTAGGGGGCATGAACATCCTCAGAGGCTAAGGAGGATGCGGTGACCTCTAGGGGTCCCAGCCCTGCAGACTCGGACCCTCATGGCCGTCACTGTTGTCGAGGGGGCCACTCTGGGACCGAGAGTGGGCTGGAGCTTTGGGTCGCATCCAGCTCTCCCACGCAGAACACGGTTGTCCCAAAGACTCCTGCACTTTGCACAGGGACAGACGCACCGGGGCCCCGGGCAGGCATGGTGATGAAGGCTGGTTCTGAGGTGTGTGTGGAAATGTACGGGGCCTGTGTGACCACCAGGTGTGGAGAAGCGCTTTATGGGAGCTGAAGTGGGACTGCCTATCTCACCAGCCATTGTAGTGGCCTGGAGGTTCTTGGTGCAGAAGAGTCAGCCGAGCACAGGAAGGCCCTGTGGCGAGAGGCCCTGATGTTCTTGTCCTCCTGTCCCCAGGTCCTAGGCCCCCTGGGGAGCCAGAGCAGCGTGGAGGCGGAGCCGGAGCCTGAGTCCCACCCCTACCCCCAGGTGCATTAGGGGCTTCACGGCAGAGCTTTATCAGGCAGGACACGGCCTGGCCGGCTGTCCGCCCATCACGTGTGCTGTGTCAGTGGTATCTGCTGTGACTGTCCGCTCCCCCATTACAAACCAGGCTGCTCCAGTGACGGGCCTCCTTCTTTGCTCTTCCCTGTGTGCTTTTTGCTGTTACTAGTGCATATTAACCAGGAAGTTTGCTGTAAGGAGGTGCCTGGCTCCCCCACTCTCCCTCGTCCTGCCAGGCCACTGTCCTGTCTGGCTGGGCCCCACTCCTGACCTCGTTTTACCTTGGCTACCTCCTGTTGACTGTCATGGGGGCTCCCGCCTGTGAGCTGTGGGGACTCAGCTCAGTCCTCAGCACAACACCATGGCAGAGTTGGTGCGGGGCCCCATAGCTGTGTGACCCATGAGGCAGGAGTGCTGACCCCCAGGCCCCAGTGGACAGGCGCCTGCCCATACTGCACCTCAGCCTGGCCACTGCAGGGGCTGAATGAGCCAGGAGTGTGTGCTTCCTCTCACTAGTTCTCAGGGGGATCCCATCCCTTCCCACACTTGGCCCCCCCCCTCCCCTCCCCAGGCATTGGCATTTCAGAAGCGGGCACTGCGGGTCTCGGTGGAGCGAGAAGGGCCTGGGAGCGCAAGGGTGGCCCCTCCCCCACTCCATATCTGCACCTTTACAGAGGAGGAAACTGAGGCACACAGACTGGCAGGTGCTCAGTCAGGAGGTGGCAGAGCCAAGGCCTGGTAACCTTGTGATGCACCAAGTGTTGTTTGGTGTTTGTCAGGAGAATAAGTGACTGTAAACAGAAAAATTACGACTCAGCTCATTGCTGTGCTGTTGGTGATGTGCAGTTATCAAAGTGGCTTGTGTGAGTTCAGGTTCGCTGGCTTCTTCTCTGCTGTCTTTTGGCATTGCCGTGGGGCATACCTGTCCTCTCAGTGGCAGTGCCACCTCTCTTGGCCAGTGTGTGCTGACAGTGCAAGGACAAGGAAGGAAGCCATGCGTTCACAGCTGCAGGGTGGATGTGGGACAAGCCTCGTGCACAGGCTCAGGAGCAGGCACTCCAGGAAAGCCTGCCAGTGGCCAGCTGAGGGCCAAGGAGTGTGCAAGTCAGGCAGCAAGTGCAGGGTGTCCGGGAGTAAGAAAGGCTCCTGGAGAGTCCGAGGGAGCGGCGTGAGACAAGCCTGGGGCTCTCTCGGGTCTCCTTTGAGAGGGAGCAGTCAGGTGGAGGCAGAGCAGCAGGATGGGGCCGGGCACCTCCTCAGCTCCCTGGCCCCACCTGTCTTTTGGGGAAAGGGTTCCACCCTGCTGGGGCATTGGCAGGAAACCAGGATGCAGAGTCCCTCGTGCCCCGGAGTATAGGGCTCAGCCAGTCTGCGTAGGGCTCTGCTCTGGGGAAGATGCCAGCTCTGGCCGGTGGGCAGGAAGAGTGTCACCATGTGGCCCCTCCTGCTCCTGAGCTTCGTGTTTCTGTGTGGATGTGTGGATGGACTGTGACATCAGAGTCACTGAAGAGGTCTGCAGAGCGTGGCTGCAGCAGCTGGAGGGACAGCGTCTCGGGAGCACCAGGGTGGTCTTGCAGGGCTGTGACACCGTGAGGGGAAGCAGGGGTCCCAGGGATCTGGCTGACAATCCCATTTTGGGGAGCAAGCTCCAAGGATGTGCGCTGAGGAGAGCAGCCAGAGCTGACGGGGCGGGACCGAGGAAGGCAGCAGACGGCCTGGATTGCGGCCAGAGGCACTGGGGCGGCTGGGAGCCTCCCGGGCAGTGTGAGGGGAGGCGTAAGAGAGCAGTTGTGTGCTTGTGCTGAGTAAAGCCTGGTTTGTGAGATGCTGGCGGCATGCTCTGTGCACTGCGGCTCCAGGCTGGGTGCTTTGAGTGGAGAGAAGGTCTCTGGTACCAGTGTTCCTCCAAGGGTTGGGGAGGCCCAAGGTGGGGCTAGAGCACCTCGCCAGGGCCACTGTCCCTGTCTGTCCCTCAACAGCACAGACCCACAGCCTGTGGAGGACCAAGAGCAGGAAAGCGTCTGTGGATGGGGTCCCGGGCTTCTCAGACCTGTGGGCCACGTGGCGCGGGAGCGGCCGGTTGTGTGGCTGTGCACACCCTGTCAGTGTTCCTGAGGAACTCGGGGTCAGGGGCTGCCCCGGGCCTCACTGCTGTTCTGCAGGTGGCACCTGTTGGAGGAAGTGGGCTGCTGCTCACCTGCCTCGCCCGTGGCTGGGAGGGGCAGAGCTTTTCCCAAGCACTGGTAAGGATCAAAGGAGGTAGGGTTTTGTTTGATCTTGAACTGAAGCGGCTTTCAGGCATGCCCTAGAGCTGTGGGTTTGTCTTGGAGGATGGCATGTGCTTCTGGAGCCTGCTGCTGAGGTGACCTGTTGTTCTGCTCCAGGGCTGCACGTGTTCCCCACCTTCGTGATCTACGAGCTCACTGTGCTGGTGATCCTCACGCTGGCGGTGGTGACCATGAAGGTATCTGCACTTTTAGTGATCCCGATGGGTAAACCCTTCCTGCTTTCAGCCTTGCTCGGCTCAGAGCTCCCCATGCTGAGCCCTGACTCTGACCCCACCAGTGTGCATGTCAGCCTGTGAAGCCCTGGGTACTGTGTGTCTCCAAAGGGCCCGTCAGAGGGCTTAGTCATGCCAGCCCTCTGGCTCCCAACCCTAAGAACAGGCCTCCCTCTGGCTGCCCTGTGGGTCCTGCAAGGCAGGTCTTGCCAGGATGTGTGGCCAGGTGTCAGGTGCTTGGCAGGAGGGGTTTGGAGTGGGGAGCACCTCTCTGAATTCTTTCCCTGAACGGAGATGTGGGGGCGCACCAGAGCCGCCCCATGACAGGCAGGCACATGGTGAACACTGGGACCTGACAGTGCCTTCCAGGTGTCTGTCCTCTGACCATGAGCAGCTCGGTCCCCCATTAGTGGATGTGTGACGATGCTGTCACTTCTGGATTTTAAGGGTTGACTTCAAGTGTTTGTACAGGCTGAGCTGCCCACCCAGAGAGGAACTTTAACCTCCTGTTAAAGTTCTCTTCGTGGGTGCTACTGAACCTTTGATGCTATTGATTGGATTTGAAGGGGAAAGGCCTGTTTTCTGCTAGACCCTAACCCTTTTAGTCTGTCTGCTTGTTCTGTGTTGCTTTAGGATTGCTTGTGTTTGTCTGTGCCTTTGGGTGTTTGAAGGCCCCAGTGTTGCCCTGGGTTGTCGGTGCTCAAGGTGATGGCGGCCTTTGGTGTGTCCCGCAGGGTCTCTGCTGCCTGTTTGGTTTGCTGGGGCCTGGGTTTCACTCAGGCAGCAGCGTAATAAACTGCTCTTGCAGTTTGTCTTGGCAGTGCTCGTCTTGTCTCTCATCCTGCCCAAGAACAGCCAGTACATCAAGTGGATCGTTTCCGCCGGGCTGGCCCAGGTCAGCGAGTTCTCCTTTGTGCTGGGGAGCCGGGCCCGGAGAGCCGGCATCATCTCTCGTGAGGTGAGTGTGGCGGCCCAGCAAGGCCTTGGCCCTGGGGAGCAGTCCTGCTGCTTCCACCTGGCCATCCCTGGGCAGGGCAGTGCTCCTCAGTCCAGCAGCAGCGAGGTGCCTGTGGGCACCAGGCTGGCCCGGCTCCAAAGCATGTGTCGAGCGGAGTTCCTGAGAGGGCCTGGCTGCTCATGGAGAACTTCGCAAATGAAAGTTAATACTGCTTGAACCCATAATATTCTCTTTTGTGACAGTTATAATTAAGTCACTGGTATTTCTTATGAAAAGAAGAAAACTCACCTTTGAAGGCTCACCTGCCAGTGTGCACATTGCCAACATTTAAGAAACCTAACGCTCAGGTGCGGGCTGTGCTCAGAGTGGCCATTGATCTACTGTGCAGCACTGTGGAGCATACAGAGCTGAAGCCCTGTCTCCTTGCACCTTGAGGTGTGGGGTGCACAGAGGAGGGAATTAGGTGCTCTGAGGCCTAAAGCTGCATCACAGCGGGAAGGACTCTGTGGCCACAGTCTGTGTGCTGTGAGCCCCCAGGGTTTATCCTCGGGAGCACCTCAAGGTTCATCAGGTCTGGCCTTATCTGAACGTCCTCTCACTTGCCATGTACTTTTATGTGCTCTAAACAGACAAGTGAAGGCAGGGGGTGGTGGCACACTGCTCCAGTCTCAGCACCCCGGGGGGCCACGGCAGGAAGGTCACGAATCTCAGCCCGGCCCGGACAGCTTGGCGACTTAGCAAGACCCTGTCCCAAAATAAAAACACAAAAAGGGCCAAGGCTGTTGTTCACTGCATGCACCAGGATCAGTCCTCAGCATGACCGTGCTCCACCTGCACCTGGGCAGATGTGCCCCTGCGGCTCACGGCCGTGTCCCGTTCTGCAGGTCTACCTCCTCATTCTCAGTGTGACTACCCTCAGCCTCCTGCTCGCCCCTGTGCTGTGGAGAGCGGCAGTAACCAAATGTGTGCCGAGAGCAGAGCGACGGTCCAGCCTCTGACAGCGCAGAGGGCGTTGGCGAGGGGAGGCCCTGAGCGGGGCCTAGCGCCACGCACCCCTGTGAGCCGCGCACGCGGGGAGGGACAGCGGCACCTGCAAGGAGGCACAGCGGCACCTGCAAGGAGGCAACGGCGCAGTGTTTGCCGGCTTGTTCCGAATATTCCTCTCACGTGTAGAATTTTCCGGAGTCATTTATTTGCAGTCAGTTGATTATGCACGGTAGTTGTAATACTGCATTTTATGAATCGCCTTGACTATTTTGCCTGGATGTGCCTTTTTTTCTGAAATTATTAACTTTTTATTGTTAATTCATCAGTTCATGATTTTTGGTAAAGAAGAAAAGTTACTTTTTTATTTATTGTTCAACTTTAGAATTAAAGTCTGTAGATCAAATATTTGTTAGTAAACATATCTGTGATATGAGATTTTAATTCTGGCAATGAGTTTGGAAGTTTACCTTAGATACTTAAAGTCTATGTTTTCTAGTTGAGATGACTATCTTATAGATATCTATTTGCCTCATAACTATTTTAAAGAAATCCTTATGTTAATTTTGAGTATATCACTCATAAAATATATGATTTTGAATCACAAGGGTATGGTCATTCTTTAATAAAGACCATTTATGATTAGGGTATAATTAATTATAATTTGTTGAGAATCTTTTTAAATTAGATTTTTGTATTAAGCTAATCTGCAAAATTTCAGCCAATTATAAACCAGATAATTCATATATCACCATACTTATAGGGAACAGGAAGGGGACCTCTGCTGCAGGTCCTGGCCTGTGAGCCACCATAGCACAAGGCGAATTCAAGAACAGACAGAAACGAGACTCAGAGTGGAGAAGCTGAGTCTTGGGTCCTGGTCAGCAGCAAAGACAAAGGCCCGCAAGCACATCCAGTGTTTATTGAATGCAATTGTGGGAAGGGATAGGAACCGGGCATGCTTAGAAGGCATCCAGTGAAACACTGCCAAACACCTGGCATGATGGCGCTAGGCAGGGCTGTCAGGGAGTCAGCACTGCTTATCTTGCTCAGATAGAACAGACAGGTACTGGGTCCAGGTGCAATTAGCATGTAACCCATTGGGTCAGTGAGAAGCCATAATTCAGAGGAAAGGGTTTTAATGGGGGTCACGCTGACCTCAGCTGCACATAACTCAGCAGAGCCCTGCCACTCACAGACAGGGCCTAGGTCCCCGTGCCAGTCATTGAGGGAGGGGCCCAGTCTGCCAGCTGACATGCCCATCTGAGTCACATAGAGCTTCAGTCTGACTCCTGATATGAAACAATACAGCCAAATTATGGATGGCAAGAAGCAGGTGCCACTCAGCCGGCTAGTCCTGGGGAGGGACGTCTGTTACACATACTGTTTTCCAAGAGACCAAATTAATGCAGTGCTATTTGAAAGCTTCAGTTATCAGCTGCCCCAGAGTTGAAGGTCTGACTCTCTCAAGTATTTCCCTAAGGCCACAGTCTTGGTCTCTTTTGTGCTACCATACTATCACAGAAGGCCTGAGGCTGGGAAATCGCTGAAGAACAAGAATTTGTTTTTCACAGTTCTGGAGGCAGGGGCAGGGAGGGCTCCATCTCTGCTTCCAGGATGGTGCCTCTAAAGCTCTGTCCTGTACCCTTTCCTGACAGCATGGATCCATCTGAGGGCAAGCCCTGTGACCTCACGTCCTGTGAGCCCACTCCAGCGTGGCTGCTCAGGGTCGGGCTTGTGACGTTAGGGACACATAAGCATTTGCTTCAGAGCAGGTACTTTAATGTTAGCTGTAATTATGTATTGTGAATATAGATTATGGATTGCGGTAATACAAATTAAACCACTTTGAAGTGAGTTGAAGTTTATTATATCTGGTCTGAAGCAGAGCAATGGAGAAAGGATGCGAACGTGTTTATGTAGAAAATGATGTTGGTCTTGTGTCTAAACGACACCAAGCCACTGGCGCCTTTTTCTCCTGCACATGGTTGGGACGCCCTGTCTCCGTCCACCTGAGCCTCTGAGCAAGTTTCCTTTCCTGTGTCCAGCACGGTGGCTGCCAGGGCTCCATGGTTTTGTGGAACTGATTAAAACCTGCTTGATGGGGGGCTAACATTGTTTCCCCCAAGATGTGACTCGGTGCCACTCCGAAACCCACTGAAGGAGAAGCAGCTTAGGAAGACTTCTGTTGACGGGGCCTCAGGCAGTAGGCAGAGCTGGGTGCTTGAGAGCCTGTAGGGACCTCCCAGGACCAGCACCGGCCCACCTCACAGAACGGGACTCTGGGGCCTGGACCTCGAAGGAAGGCTGGGCAAGGGTGCTGCTGCTCATGTCTTAGGAGAGGCAGGCTCAGAGCACTTTCAGGATCAGCTTCGAGTCCGGTGAGGACCTCCCACCCTGCAAACCTGGGTACTGTTGCTAATTATTCTTTTCAGTGCTGGGATCTTGTGCTGTGTGACCTTGCTGGTCCCAGTATTCAGTCTATCTGTTCTCAGGCGTCAGGGTTCTCCCTTTTATATTTCTGCTCCCATGACCTTTCCGCCTGCTGCCCAAGGGACGCCCCCCCCCTGCCCTGAGTGGCACCGATCACAACCCTGACTCCCGAGCCCTCTCACTCAACACAGGCAGGACAGGGTGTGAGGAAGGTGTGAGTGCGCAGGTCCTCACAGCAGGAAGGGGAAGGCCAGGACACGCTGGCGGGCCATCGTGTGGAGGAGAGGGCAGGGAGGTTCACACCAAGCCTTCCTGCCCCTTCTGCTCCTGCTGCATGCACAGCAGGAAGAAGTGTGTGTGAGGGGCCATCCTGTGTCACAGGTGGGTGGCATCCCAGTGGGTGGGGGTACTAATGTCCACAGGAGTGCGTAGGGCCTGGGCCAGCATGAGGCTGTGTGTCCAGGATCTCTAACTCCTAGAGTTAGTGGCAGTAGTCTGCACTCTGTGAGCTAAGCTCGACCTGGAGCAAGAGCAAGAACGGGTGGGCCCAGTGCCTGGGGTCCAGAGGAAAGAAGTAACTAAGAGACCAGTCTTGCTGTCGTCCAAGTGACTAGCATGAGGATTTTGGAATAAGGTTTTAAAGAGATAGTCCTGCTGTAGTCAGTCCTGATGTGGGCTCAGACTTGTGTTTCCCAAGCCAGTGTCACCTGGGCAGGTGTGTGCTGGCCAGGAAGGACAGTAATTTGTGGGCTTCCTCAGCCAGCATCTGCCTGCACCCCACATGCTGTTCAGATGGGCGGGATGTGTTGGGAGCCGGGCATTTCCTCTTCCTGTCACCGACTCGTGCCCCAGTGTCTTTGGGTGGGAGCTGGGTTGCCAGTTTTCCTGAGGTTCATTTCACAACAGCTGAAGCCTTTAAGAGCTCTGAAGATGCTGCTCAGAGGTGAAGGGGGCCAGATTTGTGTGGAGAGGAAGGAGGAAGGAGATGCTGTGGCCAGCTTCCCACTGTGTCTCTGGGGCCTGCTGGTCCGGACATTGACACTTCACAGAGGAGCCCATGACCCTGGAGGGGCAGGGACTTGGGACACAGCCTGCACTGGTGCTGTATATGTGGGCATGGAGGAGAGAGCCAAAAGCAAGAACATCCTGGCCCAAGGGGGTGGAAGCTGAGCCACAAGCCAAGTTGTGGTGTTCGATGGATGCTTGCACGCTGGCTGGCTGCTGCCAAGGCCTAGTCAGCGAGGGGCCCGTAAAGCAGGACAGTGTGCACGGGACAGTGCAGCTGGGCTCCCTCATCGGTATGGATGGCTTTGAGTTGTGCTGGGTATTGCTGTCTTCCTCCATACCTGCTAAATGGGCCTTAGGCAGACATTAAAGAGCAAGAGACCAGAGACATAAAAGGAAAACTGGGCACAAGAGATGGTAGCCAGACTGAAAGCAGAGGGATGGAAGGGGTGAAATCCAGTGAGTCACGCAGATGACCAGCTGATGTTGAGCTCCTGGCATGGGTCATGCTGGCTTTGGGCTCGAGCATCAGGAGACACAGTAGCATTGCTGCCCATTTCAGTGGGCAGTCATTTCCATTTTCAACTTCTTAAGGACATATCCGACTCTATTATTGGGTCTCAGGTGTGTTCGTGCATTCATATTGCTATTCACAATGGACTCTTAACTCTGAGGTGACATCTTGCACTGTTTCCTCTTAGTGCCAGTGGTGCTTGTCTGCCCTGTTTTTCCTGACACAGCCACTGTACTTGGACTAAATCCCCAAAGAACCTGACGTCTTTGGAGGAGATGAGAGCTGAGCGACCCCAAAGTTTCCAAGCACTTGACGCCACTGTGTCCTGGGTACTGGCAGGTGCAGGACATCTCTCGGGCTTGAGGGACGAGTGTGCTGAGAATAGGAACTCACTCACTGCGGTGGGAGTGCAGAGCGCCACGGGCACTGTGGCAGAAGTGTAGAGTTTCTGACAACTGAACAGACTTTCACCGTATGATCCAGCAGCTGTGCTCCTTGGTGTTTACCCAGATGATTCAAAACTCATGTCCACACAGAAACTTCCACGTGGGCATTTATAGCAGCTTTACTGGTGACTGTCGAAACTTGGAAATACCAAAGTGTCTTTCAGCAGGGGAATGAATAAACTGGTGCATCTAGAAAATGGAATATTATTCAGGACTGAAAATGAAATGAACAATCAAGCCATGAAAAAACATGAAGGAACTTTAACTGCATATGCTAACCAGAAGTCAATCTGAAAAGCCTGCATACCAAATGATTCCAACAATGGCATTCTGGAAAAATCAAAATTATGGAGATGGTAGGACAGCTGGTGGTTTCCAGGAGGTAGGGGGAAAGAATTGACAGGTCACAGAGGAATTTCAGACCAGTGGACAGTTTAGTGAAATTACTCTGTGATGTCACAGTGGTGGCCACATGTTGGTATACATTTGTCCAGACCCATAGAGGACACAACACCAGTCGTAAATCCCAGGGTAAGCTATGACCTCTGGGCGGCACTGTCGTGCTAACTGGCTCGCTGATTGTAACATGTGTGGCACTCTAACGTGCCACACTGGAGGGCTGTGATCAGTGGGAAGCACAGAGGCCATATGGGAACCACATATTCTGTTCAGTTTCGTTGAGTCTAAAACTGCTCTAAAAAATAAAGTCCAGGGGTTGGCAGTGTGGCTCAGTGGTAGTGTTTGACCGGGCTCTAAGTTCATTCTCCAGGACTGCAAAATGAAACAAACAAACAAACCAAGTCTGTTTAAAAAAAAAAGCTGTCAATTTTTACAAAAATTGCTGATTTTGATTGGGATTACATTGAACATGTAGGTTTGAGGTGAAAGGCCATCTTTGCCACATTGAATCTCTCAATCCATGAATATGGTATATCTCTATTTTTGCTCTATTTTACAGCAATGTTTTACATGTTTTCCTATGTAACTTTTGAAAATCTAAATTAATTTCTTTTTTTTTTTTTTTTTGGTACTGGGAATCAAACTCAGGTCCTTCCGCTTGGGAGGCAGGCAGCAGAACCACTGAGCTAAACCCCGGCCCCTAAATTAATTTCTGATTAGTTGATTTTTTCATGCCATTATAAGTAATACTTTAAAATATTTTCCCAATAGTTTTATTGGTACAGTAATAGAAATCTAAGTGATTTAGCTTGCACTGATTTTGTGTGTGTCACGCCAGGGATCAAACTCAGGACCTTATGCACACTAGGCAAGCATTCTACTACTGGGCCACCGCTGAATTTTTTTTTTTTTTTTGAGACGGGGTCTCACTAAATTGTTAAATTGCCCAGACTGGACTCAAATTTGTAATCCTCCTGCCTCAGCCTCCCAGAGTGCTGGGATTACAGGTGTTCACCCCAACACCTGGGCTGCAGTGGTCTTGTATCCAGAGAATCTGATGAATTTACTGATTAACTGTGGCAATCATTGTCTGAGCATAAATACAGTTATACATTTTCCTATTCAATATTTATGTCTTTTTTATGTCTTTTTTTTCTTGCCTTATTGCACTGCTTAGGACCTCCTAGTTAGTGTTGAAGAGATGTAATTTTTCTCCCAATTATTTTGAAAATTTCAAAATCTAGAGAAGTTGAACAAATAGTAAAATATCCATATATTAAGCAAATGTTATCATTTTGCCGTATGTACCCACTTGGTGTTTATTTTAATCTGAAAGCATATAAACAAGATGCATATTACTTGAGCCATTTAAAAGTACACTGTCCATATTGTGACACTACCTAATTTCATCACCATGCTTTTTTTTTTTTGGTACTGGGGATCAAACGCAGGACCTTGTGCTTGTGAGGCAGGCGGCAGCACCACTGAGCTAAATACCTGTCCCAACCATGTTTCTTTTTTATTTACAGAATATTATATATTTTTAATTTTGAAATTTGGTTTTTAGTTTATATACAGTAAATATCCCTGATTTGGTATACACAACTCAGTGACTTTTGTAACATTTATATTCAGATTGCAGCCACAATCAGACACAAAACAGTTTTGCTGTATTGGAGTCTCGGCAGCCACCTTACTTCTGATACTACAAGTGCGGAGCTCCCCAGGACCAGTCACTAATAATACCAACAGTGAATCTGGGCATACTCAAGACCACCCTCCTTTCTGACACGAAGTTCAAACTCCAGGACTACCCTCAAGCTCAATAATGTGCTTTAATGATATTGTTATCATAGACCATCTAGCATGCCTTGGCTCCCCCAGGAAATGACACTGATCAGGCAAGAAATCATGGTCTTAGTGGTTGCGTTCCAGGAGTTGAGGGCTACAACAATCAAACCTGTCAGGCAAGGTTAATACTTTGTCACCATTTCTGTCACACCCCATTCCCTCCTATCAACTGTAACCAACCCAGCTTAGGCACTGCTATTCAGAT